CTCGGCAAACCGCGCGTTCTCCCTACGAACCGAGGCGCCCGGCAGACCGGCGGCATCCCGCAGGAGTCGCACGGAGCGCCTCAAGGCCCCGCAGCCGAAGGACGGGGCGGGGCCAGGCCGAGGGGCGGGGTCAGAACGGCGCGGGCCCCGCGGCCGTTAACTCTCCCCTGTCCGCCCCCCCCTCCTCCCCAGCTCCTCCTCTCCACCGCTCTCCTTCTCTCCCTCCCCCCGCGGCGGGACTGCGCGCACAACGAGGGATGGCGCCCCCCGCTCCCGCTCTCCGTTCCCGCCGCAGCAACCGCCGCCGCGTCCCCGCACCTCGCGCACAGCCCGCCCGCCGCCATCTTCGCTGCCCCTCTCACGTGACCCGCGAAGCCGAGCGCGGCGCCCCGCCGGCATCACGTGGTGCGGCCGCTCCGCCTCCGCTCCCCCCCCTCCCCGTTTCGCTGGGTCATGTGACGGGCGGCAGCGCCAAGATGGCGGCGTCCTGCCAGGTAGGTGAGCGCCGCGGGGACCGGGCGGCAGCGGGAAGGCCGCGGCCCGTTGGAGAGCCTTGGACAGCGCCTCCTGTCAGGGCCTAGCGGGGTCTGGGGGACGGCGGAGGGCGTCGAGCGGTGAGGAAGGTTCCCAGCCCAGAGCAGCCGGGCCCCTGCCGCCCTGTCCAAAGCCCCGTCCAGCCCGGCTCTGAGCGCTGGGGCATCCACAGCTCCCAGGGCCTCGCCGCCCTCATTATTAACGGTTTCTTCGAAATCTGCCGTACTTTAGTTTAAAGCCATTAGCCGATTGCCCAGCAGTACACACTGCGCTGAGGAGCCTTTCCCCTCTGTCCTGCCCCTTAGGCACCGGCAGGGTTATCTGGCAGGGACCAGAAAGTAACACAGAAGTGAAATACCTCATGTTGCAAATCTGAACGTCAGCAGATTTTGAGAACTGGAACAGAAGATCTGCATCGCAGGTGGTGAAATTGCTCCGTGTCCTGTAGCCCAGCTGGCAGCTTGCTGCAGTGAAGCCATCTGGGAATAGTTGTGGCTTGTTTGCTTCATATTTCAAGTCGAAGACGAAATTTAAAGTATTTCTGTTGCAGTATCTGAATATCCACATACTGAGCAGTTGGCTTCTGCCAGCTCAGCTTGGATTCTCAAGTGGGGATAACGGTTTTGGCTGATCCCTTCTTATCTCTGATTAATAGCTGGCATATAACATCAGTCTAATTTGAGCTTACGAACAAAACAGCTGCAAGCAAGCTTCAGTTTTTCTGGTTTTCCAATAGTTGCTTTCATCGTTTGTTTGTTTTCAATAGGAATCACAGTAGTGTGAAAGAGAATTCCTTCTAGTGGACAACTACTGAGAAGATCAGGACCCATAACAAAGATCTTGAAAGCCAAAGCCACGTTGGACTGGAACCATGTTAAACAAACCAGTGCTGGTGGAATCCCTGATCGTCTTCAGCATTGTTCTGTGCGTGCATGCAGTGGTGTGGGACCGCTACTCCTGGTGTGCTGTAGCTCTTGCCATCCAGGCTTTCTATGTCCAGTTCAAATGGGACCGCCTGCTGCAGCAGGGGGGGGCTGTGTTCCAGTTCCGCAGCACAGCAAACAGTGGGCTCCTGCCTGTCAGCATGGTCATCCCCTTGCTGGGGATAGCAATGAAGGAGAGGTGCAAGGCTGCTGGTATCGTGTACTTTGAACGCTTTGGCATAGTTGTAGCTTCCACTGGCATGTTGGTTGCTCTATTTTTGTCTGTGATTGCCGTTGGCATCACAAAACCTGTGCCCACCAACACTTGCATACTCACTGGTGTTGCTGGCAGTATAATTATCTATACCATGAAGCACTCTTTGACTGTTTCAGAAGTGATAGAGGTCCTAGAAGTGCTGCTAATTTTTGTCTACCTCAGTATGATCTTGCTCTACCTGCTGCCTCGATGTTTTACTCCTGGAGAAGCATTGCTAGTTCTCGGAGGTATAAGTTTTGTTCTCAATCAGCTCATTAAACGCTCACTGAATGTAATCGAGGGCAGAGGTGAACCCATAGACTTCTTCCTTCTGGTGGCAGTTATTGGAGTTATTATTCTTGGGCTTTTTTTCACTGTTCTCTTCATTTTCATGGATTCAGGTACGTGGATCTCCTCCATGTTTTTCCACATGATGACAGCAGTGCTAGGCTTAGGGGTCATCATGCCTTGGCTTTATCGACTGATCCGGAGGAACCCTTTGTTTTGGCTGCTCCAGTTTTTGTTTCAGACACAGACGAGGGTTTACCTGCTCATATATTGGACTTTTTTGGCTGCTTCAGCGTGTGGCATAGTTTTCTACCAGAATGCCAAGAGATCGTCTGAATCTAAAAAACACCAGGCCTCAACCATAACCAGGAAGTATTTCCATTTCATTGTTGTAGCAACGTACGTTCCTGGACTAATTTATGACCGCCAGCTTCTCCATGTTGCTGCAGTCCTGTGTCTGGCAGCGTTCATATTCTTAGAGTACATTCGGTACTTCAGGATCAAACCGCTTGGTCAGACTCTTCGCTATTTGCTGTCTCTCTTCTTGGATGAAAGAGACAGTGGGCCTCTAATCTTGACTCACATTTACCTTCTTCTTGGCATGTCCCTCCCAGTGTGGTTGTTCCCCAGATCTTGTGCCCCTAAAGGTGCCTTGTCTGGGGCAGGAGCACTGGTGCCCTACGCTGGGGTGCTTGCGGTAGGGGTAGGAGACACCATGGCTTCTGTTTTTGGCAGTACCATGGGGGAAATCAAATGGCCGGGCACAAAGAAGACCTTTGAAGGGACAATGACAGCAGTTTTCGCTCAGATCATTGCTGTGGCTCTTATTCTGATCTTTGACAGCAGCGTGAACCTTAACTCCAGCTATGCCTGGATTCTGGTGTCTGTGAGCTTAGTTTCTCTTTTGGAAGCTTACACGACCCAAATTGATAATTTGTTGTTACCTCTCTACCTCCAGATCATGTTTATGGTTTAAAAGCACTTCCAAGAATAGAGGTTTCTCCACTGCTAGAAAAAAGCAGCAACTGAATATATGCACATCAATCACAGATGAAAGATGATCCAAACAGTGTTTTTCTTTTGTTAAAAACAAAGGAAAAAAAATCTATTTAAAATAAAAGTTTTGTTTCAGTCTGTTTTTTTTTCTGTAGTTTTTAAAACAGCACAAGTTGATTTTTGTCATATTAAAAAAAAAAAATCACAGGGGAGAATCTATTAAGCCCTTCTGCATTGATAGTCCCTTATTGCCAAGTGCTGTGCTTTCTCTGCCTCTTCCATTTCCCCAAGAACTGCCTGAGCTGAAGCTTTGCTTTCCAGGATCCTGGTTTGAAGGATGCAGTTACGTTCTGACAATATGTTCCCCACAAAAAGGCACCACAGTACACTTTGGAAATGGTGTAGTGCTGCCCCAGACTCCTTACACAATTCTCCCCTGCAGTCCTGACTGCTTATTAGGAGCACAGGTTGAGCAGAAGTGATGCTCTGTGCCAATAGATCAGGCCCCAGGAACGAGTCAGGACCCGCAAGGAGGTGGCATTGCTCAACATCCCCCACCTGGGCCCAGCTCCACACCTGAGCCTGCCTTTCCCAACGTGCCAAAATTGTTCAGGGTTTGTTTTGGTTAATAATGCAATAAGGGACAGATACCGTTTGCAAAAAAACAATTCAGATTAGGCTGCATTTCCTTCACACTGAACTGTAAAACCTGCAAATTCAGTCCAGCTTCTTGCTTCTGTTCATCCACATGAATTAGATATTTTGCAAGTTGCAGATAATGGTGCATATAAGCAGAGGCCAGACAATCATTGCTCAGCAGCAGGCACTGTTCTAAGAGATTAACTCTAGTAATGGAAAGATACAGAAGAAGTTCCACTATGACCCACAGCCTTCACCTCCAAAGCAGCACAAAACTACAAGAAGTCACTTCCCCCTCCATCCCCACCCACAACTGTGAAACAAACCATAGGAAAAGCACAGGGAGAGATCCCAGAAACACCACAGCAGGAACTGAACTCCAGGCTGCTGCTATTGCCATTCGCCAGCCTCATTCCCACTGTGCCAGCCTGAGCTCTGCACTGTATTGAACATATTCTGCATTGCTAGGCAATGCCCAAAGGGATAAAAATTCTTCTTACCATAGATTTAATTCTACTATTTCACAAATCAGATGATCAAACCAACACTAGAGATGGGTAATACATTTCTGAGAGGAGTGAATCACTAAGAATTGGAGCCTTGTTTCCCTAACAACTTACTTATTGTTAAGTTCACTCTGGTTCTGTCTCATTTTAACTAGATAAAACTTAGTGCCCATTTAACCAAGCATTCAAAAAGTAAATTTAAATAAGTGTGGAATATTACGTAGGAGCTGGAGTGCCTCAGTCCATCCTGACTTATGCTCCCAAATTGGCTGGATTGAGCTGGGTATGTTACTCAGCCACAGATCTGCTACAAACACAACTCCATGACTGCTTGAAAGTGATTACATCACACCCACGACAGCATTTCATTCCTACAGTCTCTCCTACTTCTTTGTCCCCATCTATGACCTTCTGTGTACATTGGGAGAGATACCATCTATTGCAACTCCTTCAGAAATGCTACCTGCGTTCTGTTCAGCTTAGCACACAGGCATGAGCTTGCCCCTGATGCAACTGAAGTTACTTAATGTTCCTAAGGTTTCGCTGCGGTTTGGTTTTGTTGGGATTTGGGCAGTTATGGTGGTGCACACACCTCAATCAGATCATCACAGAGCTGTGCTGCAGCCCCACGTGTTGGGAGGAGATCACACCGTGACACCCTCAAAAAAAAGGGGTGAGATTAAAATGAAGATTCATGATTTTTTATTGATGTATCACGAGGGGTTTTGTTGTTGTTTTCATGTTTTCAACACCTTTAAGAACGTCGATATTTTTAATCAAGCCTAGAGATCAAACATTCAGCTGCAATTTGCAAGAAAAACCCAGAAGAGCGATGAATTAAAGAAGTAGACTCCCTGATTCATTTTGCCCACAGTAGCATTGTCTTTATTACTATTCAAAGAATAGGACAGAGACCCAAGGCTGCCACCGTCACACAACACATTCACCTGCACTGCCAATGAACAGAGCCAAGCACTAATCGACTTAAAATACTACAGCTCTACAACAAGAAACACTTCTCAACCATTGCCATGGTCAAGGTGGAACACTCCTTAATGGCCTGTTCTGGAGACAGAAGAGATTTCCTCACCAAAAGGACTGGGCTACTATCCTCAGAGCAGGGCTCATCCTGCAGTAGAAGCTTCTACTGAAGGCAGGCAGATTCAGCTGCATGAAGGGAGCTTGCTCACAGTGGATAATTATATCTTGAGCATTGATCTAGTGAACTGCACTTATAGAGAACACAGACAAGCAATCATGGGAACACCAACCAGCCAGTTGACTCCAGAAGCCAATCGTGAATGTCAAGTGTAGAGCGGTGGAAAAGGCAGTTCAGGAGTTGGCTGGAGCCTAGGTGGTAAGGAAGAGCAAAAAACAAAACTGCAGTGACTACTCCAGTTCTGGGCCATTAAATCAGCAATCAATACTGCTGCACCCAAAGGGCGTTTCAAACAACAGCAAGACCTGATACAGTGAGAAGTCAGCATTTTAGAACCCCTCAGGCTGAACACCAGTTACACCTGTAGTCATCAGTTCTGTCTTTCAGGCACTTCGCTGTTTTATTTTAAATTTAGTAGAAATCCTGAAAGAAATCCCTAAGGCACGTGGTTGCATATTTTGCAAAGTAGAAGCACAGCAAAGATTGCCAAGCATGGAATTTTTCCCTTCCTCCAATATGCTTATTGAACATGACTGTAAGAAGTCTGCAAATACACCAGGGTACAACTTAAAAGCTTTCATTAAACATTTGTCTAAGAATCACAGCAACCCTACCAGTTCTCCTTGCTCCAGTTGGTGCCTTTGGCCTCCATCACATGGAAGGTGTACACGTGGCGAGAGAACCCCGAGCTGTTCATTTCACTCTTATGGACGACTTCTCCATGGATGACTATGAGCCCACCTGTTTGGAAGAAACACCCAGACTGCTTTTTTTCCCAGTCGTGAGTGCTAAATGTGACATAAGCAAAGTACAGCTGTTGAAATGCAATTGTGTTTCCCTTCTCTGAGGTGCTTCTACCTTTACTTATGGGCACAGGTACGAACTTGCTGTCATCGTAGGCCGGCTCTGACCCTACAAATTCCACACACGTCGAGGCTCCTTGGGCTGCACGCACCATCCTGCGGGTGATCCCACCTGCACGTCCACAGATAAGCAAACATCCATACAAATGAAAATGCCAGCTCTGTTTTGCACAAGCCCAGAAACACTCTGCGGTTCCTTTTGGCACTTAAAGGAACAACGCTGCTAATGTACTCGATTCTTTCCTTGGTGATTCAGGGATTTTTCAGCATGCAAAGATTTGGGATTTTCCAGCTGTAGCAGAAAGTGAGAATCAGCTGTGTTCTGCTTCCCCTCCTGGCTCTGTGCATCTCAACACAGCCTGGTAGGAACACGATGCTCAAACACTTATGCAAAACCCAAAACCAAACTGTCATCCATGTCTTCTTCCTGACAGCATAATCTGCTGTCAGAGCACAACCTACTCCAAAGTGTATGAGGGCTGAGTGATTTAAAACATCAAGAGAGCTGTAATTACCGAGTAAATGCTTAGGTGAGCAGCATTGGAAGTCAAATAGTATGTCCTAGAGGAAGAGAAAGGCAGGAGACTGCAGAAATGATGCTGTGGTGGTTGGGGTGAAAGAGGAAGTTAGAATATTGCCAAGAGGTCATGGGCATAGGGGGAAAAGAGCATCCTTGTGAATGGGATGCAGCATGGAAAAGAAGCAGTTTTGCAAGCAGGAAAAAAAAAGAGCAATGGTTTGTTAGTGCATTCTCACTCCAGAGGGCAGAAGGAGAATTACAGTTTGCAGTCCAGGTGACGATGAACCTTTTCAAAGCTGCAGTCAGAAGTACAGAAGGAGCACCGACAGGTGGCAATGACACATATCACCACAAGAAGAAAGAAGTCAGTAGTTCCAGACCTTCACTGCATTAAGAACCTGAATCTCAGAGCCTGGCAAAGAAGAGCTTGTGTTGCAGGGTGATGTTCTGAAATAGCACAGAAGACGCAGGGTGACTGCAATGGGCCTCACCCTCACAGGTTCTGGAGTAAATACAGCACCAGGAGGGCTGCCTCTTCACCCTATAGCCCTGGTTTCAATTTAAAACTAAGCACTGTCAGCCATGTACAGGAAAAAAAAAAAAAAAGAAAGAAAATATTGCTATATTAAGCTCTGCTGGAGGAGTGGCCACAACTTACTGGTGTGGGAGCCGGGAATGAACCACAAGCAGCCATTCTCCTGGGTGGCATCCTCCAGTGCAATCCAGAAGCCCAGGACCTTTCCCAGGGGCTCCGTGTGCAGGAACGTGGCATCCTGGTGTGGTGTCACTGTGATGAAAAGCAGCAGGGTCAGAATCTGAGTGTGCCTGGGGCCAGCACTGTGAGGTGGGGGCATACATGGTGCTCCTCAGCCTGCCCTGACCACCCATCGTGCCATGGAATCGCTTGAGGTAGCAGGGACAACTAAAGGCCATCTCCCTGCAGCCACAGGGACACAGCAACATCAGCACTCACAGCCCCATCCAGCTGTGATCTCAGGCATCTGCAGGGACGGGGCACCACCACCTCTCTGGGCAGCCTGTGCCAGCTTTACCTGCTCACAATCCTATCCTGAAGGACTACCTGTGCTGTAATACAGAGACACACGAAGCTCACCTTCCCCACCGATGCCAGGTTGCTGCAAGGAGAAGGGAGACACGTGAGGAGGAGTCACACTGGCTTCACTCCTGCCATGGCAGGGAGGCTCGCAGCCATACCTTGAAGATGTACATGCTCTGCACAACCACTGGTCTCTCAAGGCCTAGTTTTCTCCCCAGTTCCTGGAAAGAAACTTCCCAAAATTTACATTTGCTGATTCTGCACACGACAAAGTGCTATTTTCTATCGGTATTCTGTCCTTTTACGTTCAAAAACTTTGTACTTAGGAGTCCAGAACACTCAAGTTGACCATCCCATCATTTGGTTTTCTGTCAGACAGCTCTATCAGCTCAGCTTACCTGCACCTTAGAGGAGTGAGTCATCTGCTTGAAGACAGGATCATGAGCGTGCAAGGCTAAGGGGAAAGACAAGGCTCAGGGTGAAGGTTTCAGTAACAGAAGGCAGCCCAGAGGCTGGCAGCAATGAGGTGCAAAGAGCACAGCCAAGCAGCCAGGAACTTCCACACCCCACCCCCAGGAGCAGATCATCAGCGTCACTCCATTCCTGGAGGTGTTCCAGAACTGTGGAGATGCAGCACTACAAGACGTGGCCAGTGGGGATGGTGGGTGGATTGGGCTTGGGAATCTGAGAGGGCTTTTCCAACCTTAATGACTGCCTGAGGTGACACAGCCCTTCTGAGTTAATACAGTCCTCTTTAGAAGACTAAAGAGTGGAAAAAGTGAGTGTTGTGATGAAGCATATTACACAGAATATACGGAAATGCAAAGCAAAAAGAGATGCAGCTCCCCCTCTTGCCGATCAGGCCCAGCAAGGGCTGCCACTGAACAAGGGACGAGGAGAGACCCCATTAAAAAGACTCATTATGGAGAATCAATCAGAGAGAAGGTGCTGAGGCAGCAGGGGACAGAACTGTTTTCACTTCCCAGAGGAAAAGTCAATGTAACAGAGCCCAGCAGAGGCTGCTCTGCACACGGGTGCTGAGAGAGCTCCGTATTGCATTTCCAAGCTCAGTGACGTTCAATCTGAACAAAGTTCAGGGGAATGAGCTGAATCCTGCTCTTATTTTCCACGTATTGTTTGAAGACAAAAGAGATTCAAACCCAAGTGGAGGGCTGGGAGAGAGGTAATAGGGCACAAACTGAAAGCAGAAGGAGATAAGAAAAGATGCTGCAGTGAGAAAGGAAGAAAACAGCTTAACTGTGCAGAGAGCAGGAGACAGTCTGAGCCATGTGCAGTGGGAGCAGTTCAGTGGGAGGTTGCTCAAGCAATCTCTGACCCCAAGAGGTCTGAGGGCTGAAGTCCAAACCTTTGCACACCAGTAACTCAGTGCTATGTGCAACCAAAGAGCCTCCTGGAAGCGTTCTTTGGGTTTTGTTTTGAAAGGTTTATAGCTGAGAACTTTGGCAGCAGAGAGTGAGGAGCTGCACAGAGACATCTGCAGAGGCAGTGATGGAACGATGAGGGAAAAAGTGAACTGATGAGCTGAAATTGAGATTAATTTAATATGGGAGAGGTTGCAAAGGAAGGAGTTGCATGAGGTTTGCAGTGTTTGGGGCACAGTGAGAAACAGAACAGAGACAAAGCCACTTCTGCTCTCAGGAAGGTTTAGATTTAGGAGACTAAAGAGGGTGGGTCTGAAAAAATCCCAGTGCCTAAGAACTGCCTCCCTTTTGCCCATCCTTCTCAAAAAACAAAAAGACCAATTGAACATACCATGGCCAATCTTACTGACAGATTTCTCCTTTGCAATTAGGAAGTTGCCTACAAGACAAAACCAGATTTTAACATGTTTAGCAAAGCAGGGATGGTTGCAGAGCTGGAACCTGGCCCTGCCTCCTCACGTTCCCTTGACTGGGTTTGGGGCTCACCTCTCTCATCCAGAACACCTTTCTCAAAGAAGAACCTGACCTTGTCTCCACTGGTGAGGAAATAATCCGAGCTGCCCTGTCAGAGAGAAGAGCCCAGTAAAGACAGCATCATCATGAACACACAGCCAAACCTTCAATCACAGATAACACTCACCTGCATCTTTTTCCCACCAAGCAGCAGCAGAAACAAAGTACAGTTAACAGAAATCACTCCTACAAATACTGAATGCATTCTTTCAACATTAAACCTCTTGGCACTCCCTAGGACTCCAGCCTGGCACACACGGACTACCAACAAACACCAGCAGAAAGCTGGGAAGCCAATGCCTTCCCCCTTCTGTCCCAGGGCAGCATGGGACCAGCCCTGCCCTGCAGGTACCTGTGCCTGGAGCTGCTCCTCTTCCTTGGTGGAGAACTCAGTCCGGCAGTGTGGTGGCACCTCCATCCCATCTAGGATCCTCTGGATGCTGCTCCTCATGCTGTCACACTCCTCTGGGCTGAAGAAGTGCTCCAGGACGAGGAAACCATCCTCATGGAACTGAAAGGGGGACACGGGGTGGCTGCCCTCCTCCTGGGCTATTTCTGATATGTTTCTCTTTCGTCCACAAATGACAAAACTGAAGTGTTGTTCTTTTATTTTTAAAGTTCAAGAGGGGCATTACCAAGAAAGATCAGTCCTTAAACAGGCTCAGATCCCATAGAATTAAGGGGAATACATTTCACCTCCCCACCCAGAAACCAGAGTAGATAGTATTGCTGAGTCTTCATGGTTTAAGGATATCTTAGCTACATGAGCAACAACACCTAAATTACATATACTGCTAAAGCAAACAGAGCACTCATTTCCACATTCCAAACAAGGAGGAGATGCCTTTACAAGCTAGAAGGAGAAAAAGTGATTTTCTCTAAGGGAAAAATCCCTGGGTGGCTCTCACGGTTGACTACACAATCCTCTATGAAATGAGGCAAACTCTGCTGGCACTGCTTCCCTATATAGAACACCACAGGGATTATCCTCAGGGACAGATCTCAGCCTCGCAGTGACAGCTGAGCAGGAATCAGAAGGACACCGAAGAATTCTCAGAGGAGCTCTGCAGGGCATACAGCCCTCCGCAAGTTTGCACCCACAGCGGGTTTCCAAGGCTCAGAACGAACAGCAATGCACAGAGCTGAGCAGAATACAAAGTGTGTGCAAAGCAGATCTCTGCCAGACCTGAGCACTGGTTCAGCACGGAGCGCCCGTGCCTTGCAAATGGTGCAGGTATGTTCCCTGCCTGCTGCTCCCTTACCTTCTGCATCTGCTGTTGGGTGACAGACGCCATCGCAGTCCCACCAGCCTGGCTGTGCACGGCTGTGCCACCTCGGCACGTGACCCTTGGGCAGCATGTGACAAATGCAAGCACAGAGCCAGCACAGCCACCTCCTGCTCTGACCTCTCTGTGGCTGCTGGCTCCCAGTGCTCAGTGATGGAGCTCTGCTCCAGCTCTCGGTGCTGCTGTACAGAAGCGTTTGTTCTTTGTGATCACAATTTGCTGCTTAGCCCCAGGGAGGAATGGCTAGTTTAATAACCCAGATCAAAAACTGGTAAACACAGCTGTAAATTAAAGAAGTAGAATAAGATTCAGATAGGATGAAAAGATCAAGGGCCACCGAACAGAGAAACAAATGCAGAAGCAGCCAACTCAAACTCCTGCAGAGTTCCCTTTGCTCAGCCAGCAGACCCTGCCTTGCCAGCAAGGAGCCCAACCACAGGAGAAGACAAACATGAGACCAAGGGGTGCTAAAGCTGAAGGGCTTCCACCAGCAATTCAGCCATATTCAGAGTCACCGGCTGGTCTCATTCACAGCTGCTGCTGGGAAGGCGGTTGTTTCCAAACACACTTGGCTAGCAACTGAGAATCCATCTGAAATAGGTGGTGTTCAGGAAAAAGATACCTTATTCTGTAAGGGAAACCCATTCAAATCAACCCCCCACCCCCCTTCTTTGTGTTTTATTTTTAATGAAAAGAGAATTCAGGATTTTCACTAGTGAGCATCTCATTTTGAGCACAGAATCATAGAATCTCCCAGGTGGAAAAGACCTCTCAGATCCCCAACCCCAACCCACCCCCTCCCCCATGCCTACTGACATCCCTCAGTGCCACATCTCCAAAGCTCTGGAGCACCCCCAGGGATGGTGACCCCACCATTCCCCAGGCAGTTGTGCCAGTGCAGCACAACTCCTTCCAAGAAGGAATGTTCTCTAACACCCAACTTGAACCTCCTCAGCACAACATGAGGCCATCACCTCTCGTCCTGTCGATGCTACACAGGAGCAGGTATCCATCCATCTATATCTCTAAAAAGAAAACCATCAGATAGTTCTTCCCTCTTGTTTAAGGAGCCTCTCCAGATGACGAAGCTGAGCTGTTCTGAAGAACGTTGTGTAATCAGTAGGAAAACGAAACAAGGACAAGGTAACACAGCCAGCCTACTGCAGCTGCTGTCTGTAAGGCCATGTCCCTTACTCAGGGGGAGCCCTGCTTGGGAAGCAGCAATCCAGACAAACACTGTTTGCACGCATTCCCATACCCTTCCCCTGTGTTACTGAGGTCATTCATACCATCATTTCTCATTTCCAGTAATCTTCTTCCAAGCAATTTAGCATGCCATCTTCTCCACTCCCCATCTTACACACATGTGCTGACTCCAGAAGCCACTCGAGTTCACACGCACGACAGCAAACCACAGCTTCCCTGTTTATGGATTGCATTGTAAAAAAGCACTCCCAACAGCAAAGCAGGGCACAGGGAGTACCAGCAGGCAATCACACAAACTAGGAGACAACCACAGTGGCTACAGGAGCAGTTTGGTCTCAGGAGCCTCCCAGCCCTTCCCCCTTCCAGGCACATTCCTATTTTGAGGCTGAGACATTTCCAGAAAGAGGAAAACCAAACCACCACCCCCACATAACGCCCCCAAAAAAGCGAACAAAGGACATAAATATCTTCTCTCCCCATAAGTTTAAACAAGGAAGTAGTGAGGGCTCAGACAAAACTGGGAAATCAGCCCTTTTCCCTTCTTCTCCCCCCCCCCACTCTTTCTAAAAGCTCTTGTGCGGACTGTTCACACTTTCTCCTGCTCTGGAGGAGAACTGTGCTTGTGGCCAACCCCAGCACCATGGTACAGACTCACGGTACAGCACTGGAACACCAAGAGCCCTGCAGCAGACAAAGCCCCAGTGTTCCAACTGCCTTGCTGAGCAGCAGAGCTACCCACGCTTCCTCTGCAGTGAGGTTCCCATTGATGCTGATCAGAGCTCCTGATTCCCCATAGCCAGCTCCAGCATCTCAGCACGCTCACTAGGAACAAGGAGTACATGTTTAAACTGTGTTAAACTGTCCATTAGTATCTACTTAAAAATACTCAAATATTTTTCCCATGTTGACAGTCCTTTTTCTGAAGTTACCAAAAGCCTCAGAAACAGAAAAGTTCCCTATTGAGAGCACTCTCACTGTTACCAACAGTCTGACACAATAGTTACTTTCTTTGTGAGTTTTCTACCTACTGGTTTTTGGTATGGTCAGGCTAGAGAACTGTATGTAACAAATCTAAATCATAGCTCCAGTAACACTGGGTCTTCACTCTATACCTTAGTGAGCTACACAGAAAATTTGGAGTTATCTGGATTGCATTTTTCCCAGCAAAAACATCAGTTCTTCACCCCAAAGCTCCTTTCCATCCCCATACTCCCGTTCCCTAGGAATCCAACATGCACCACCAGTTCTCTGATGGCTCCTTTCATTCTTCCCTTTTGCTCAGTGACTTGAGGTGCTGGTGACCCCTTGCCAGAAGGAAGCCCCAGTCCAAGAGAGCCTTAGATGACAGGAAGCGTTTTGTCCTCTCCTTTCTTAGCTCAGCCCTTCCAAGCATTCCATTAAAAACTCAATGCCAATAAACTGTGGCACAGAGCAGCGCCTTCCACCACCCCGGCTCTGTGTCACTGAAGTAGGTATAACGTCACTGTGGTCAAACAGCCTCAAAGGAAGCAAGGGAAGGCAGGACACAAGAGAAATACCTTTCACTATAACAGATGAGTTGCACAGAAACTCAAACCATCTTTGAAAGTTACAGGCTGCTACCAGCAGCTGGCTGAAGGCACCATTCCTCTAGCAACAGGCAGCATTCTCCACTGCCTTCAGTTCCTATCCTTCTCCTAGGGAAGGAGAGAGCAAGATGCGCGCTGAAAAGCCAGCGGAGTTTCTACAAGCAGACAATCAATGCTCCAACAGCCTGTATTGGCAGTGTAAATTGTTTCAACCCTTTGTTCAAGCGATGGTAAAGTGTAAGGCAGTCCAGGCCTCAGCAGAATCTCTGTACATCTACTTTGTTTTATTCATAAAGAAATGTCATAACCCACACAGGCTGAAGCGATGAGTAAAGCAGCAATCCCACACAACAGCAGCAATCATTAACATCTGTCTTCCCAGAAGTGAGGCGGCCAGGGGCAAAGCGCCTTCACACACAGCCAAATTAAAGAAAGCAGACATAAAAGGAAAACGCAAATTAAAAAGTTAAACTTTTATTCTGTTAAAGTGTCCAGTCTTACACATCTCTCAAGAGAAAACAATAGCAGCCTTCGGTGCTTACGGTGGAGGTGCTGCTGATCAGCTGCCCGAGCAACCCCGCATACAGAGCGAATGTCAGCAGTGTTACACCAAGCACAGGTCCTGCATGCCAAACCACAACCCTGCGAGCGCATCTACAGAGCGGCAGGGAGCCACGTCCAAGCTGTGAGTAGTGCCTTACTTAAATGGATGCATCTGGCAGCTGTAGATGACTCAGGCCCGTTAGCCCCCTTCTCATTAAGTTCAGCCTGGAAAAATTCTCCCTATTGTCCAATGAACTTCCTTTAAAGGAGAGATAGGAAAGAATGGAAGGGTATTTCCAGACGTTCCAAATTAAGCCTTTGTGTGAATGCACGCAGAGTTCACCTTAGTTTTTGGGGTCCAACAGTTCAAGCGTAGTTACTTTTGAAAAGGGATTTCAGATGAAATTTCTGGAGGATTTCACACTACCACCAACATTTTAACATTCATCTAACACTGCAGCTGGAGGGATGGAAAGGGTTCAAATCTGACAATACTCTTGTCCAGCTCTGCTTCGAGCACTGTTACAATGCAGATAGGACAGGAAAATATTTTGGCACATTTTTATTAAGACTACAGAATTCACTGTGTGGCCAAACAGCAGTAAAAAAATAAATCATTTTTTAAATGCAATAAAAGGAAACAAATCCAAACAAAATCTAAATGATAGTTTTCCCATTTAGCATTCACACAGCCTTATAGAGGGCAGCATTTCAGAGCAGGTGATGCTACCGCTTATGGTACAACCTTGATCTTCAGTGAGAAAAGTCACACCAACATCTAAGAAATCTCTCCATGCTCTCCACAAACAAAAAGAGAAGAACCAGAGGGAACAGCTGGCTTCAGGCAAAGATAACTGCACGTGCACTAAAAGGAACGATGCCTCAGTGGAGAGTTCACCTTAATGTGCCTCTAGAGAAGGCACAGCTATCAAGGAAGAAACAATTCCTCCCCTGAAGGACTGAAAATAAATCGAGAAATCAAACCATGAAAGTCCCTTTCTGAAATGGAAAAAGGTAAGGAAGGGAAATGATGTCACAACTGTTAAATGGCATCCTGGGGTGCATTAAAAAGAGCATGGCCAGCGGGGCAAGGGAGGTGATCCTCCCCCTCTACTCTGCCCTATTGAGGCCTCACCTGGAGCACTGGATCCTGTTCTGGCCTCCCTGGTACAAAAAAGACAGGGATCCCCTGGAAAGACTCCAGCAGAGGCCACAGAGATGATAGAGAGCCTGGAGCACCTCTCAAGTGAAAGGCTGAATGAGCTGGGCCTGTTCAGCCTTGAGAAAAGACAACTCAGAGGGGATCTGATCAACATCTACATCTATCTAAGGTGTGGGGGCAAAGGGACAAAGACAGACCCTTCCCAGCTGTGCATGGTGATAGGACAAGGGGAAACAGCCACAAAATGAAGCATGGGAAGTTCCACACAAACGTGTGCAAGAACTCCTTCACAGTGAGGGTAACAGAGCACTGGACAGGCTGCCCAGGGAGGCTGTGGAGTCTCCTTCGCTGGGGACATTCAAGCAAAGGCACCTGAATGCCTGCCTGTGCAACCTGGTCCTGGGAGCCTGCTGTGCAGGGGGGTGGATTGGTTGACCTCTAGAGGTCCCTTCCAGCCCCTACAGTTCTGTGATTCTGTGAAATCAGTAACAGTTTTTATGTATCATCTCCTGCAAAGGATGTGTCATTGTTCTGAAATTCCTAGAATCGTGTTAGAAAAAGAAGAGGGCTTCGGTGTGGTTCAGCAACAGAAAGCCACTTCATACTATTTGTGGTAATGACACCAAGCATCTGCTTTAATTAAAACGAAATCAGCTAAGTGGAGTGTAGAAATGGTAATAAGAGAAATAAAAAATGAGGTAGGACACTCAAGAAGTGACAATTAATACCAAAGAACAGCACATCACAACAGATACCTGTAACAGCTTGCATTGGGCTTACATTTCACCATTCAGACTGATGGAGTGACTTAATTCCCACTGCTGAGTTAACTAGGGACCAAAACAAGGTCAGAAAACAACTCCAAAGAAAAACTTCATCTAACATTCCAGTGCATAGTTTCAGAGATACAGCAAATTTTAACACATTTAATAGGTTTGGCACCACCCACCTTACAGGTGGTTCAAATAATCCATTGTAACTTAGTACTTTTTGGGGCAGTTGGGAGTGAAAGGTAGAATTCTGTTTACTAACCTCCAGTCCTAGCATGGGGTGAGCATGCTCAAGATCAACAGGGGGTCCAAGAATTCATTCAGCTCAGCAGTGCTATTAAGGAAACTGTTTTAATTCAAGTTGTTTTGTGATTTAGCAGCTAATAAATCTGTTTTGCTACCAACTAGAGTGCTTTGAAAAGACAGGTCAGGACAAGAAGACACTGACCTGTTGATTGTCTGCATAAGGTGAGCTTTTCTTCCTGAATGTGCAGATTTGTGTCAGAAAAAGCAAAGCTTCAGTTTGACAGAGATTGAAAGAAAAATTATGATATACACTGACTGAACACTTGCAAATGAGGAAGGATTGTTGATGTAAGCCCATCCCTCAGACTGAGCAATGCAGGCAGGTATGGGAAGTTGAGTGAATCACCCTGCTGTGGGGTGAGCTTTACAGGAAGTCCGAGCTGTAAATGTGTTCAGGACCTCACGTTTTAGACCCTATCATTTAAGTTTTAAAGCTTCCTCCATTTCATCACATGAAACTGATACTATGAAATCACTATCTCTTCCATGGAAGACCAAGAAGCACACGTCAGGAGCAGGTAAATATTGCTGTCTTCCAGAATGGCAATATATTTTCGTGCCACCTGCGTTTCTGGTACAAGAAGCTATCAAACTACTTAGCTTTCTGAGTGACAGCTTTGAGATACCTCAAGCTCTAACAGCCAAGACTGAAAAACTGAGCTTTGAATATTGAAAAAGGAGCAAAAAAGCTAGTGTTTCCATGCATGATCAATACTGGCCTGTCTTAAAATTGCTTTGTAGACCTCAGGCATAGGGCAGTTTCTACTCAGCAAGCAGCAGAAGTATAGCTGTCATTTGATAAGAAGTTAGAGGCTCACTTCTAGCACAATAGCCTATTGTCCACTTCTCCTATGGATTCGGCACTGAGATACATAGCAGAGCTCAGGAGATGTGCAAGCTTCTAGAAGCACTGCAGCATAAAAGCAGGAGCTGCTTATAGAAACTTTTGGCCTAGCTGCACAAAGCTTAGTTGTATAAGTGACATCATACCTCGAATCAAGAGTTAAAGCATTCATCTACAATGTCCTAGACACACAGGAGAAAACTGTTCCTGTAAGCTAGGTTAAAATCCTACGAGGTACATTGCCCTTCAGCCCTGTCTAGCCTGAAACACACATGCTGTAAACAGATTACCCAGTGGCCTTGAATACAACACAGACTTCAAGTCTCTCCATTCAATTGCCATTACTCTCCAGCAATCTTTTGGCACAGAGTAAGGAAGAAAACGAGGTTTCCTTTGCCATCCAAACAGCCCCTACAGCCACCTTGAGAAAGTGCCTGGAAAACAGTACTGCTGTAGCTAAGCCTAAAGCCATTCCTGTCTTACCCAAGCAGCAGTAAGTCTACCTTACAATTCCTGTCCCACCAATTCAAAATGCTTGTGTGCATGAATCCAATCCAAAATGCATCAGCACCAACACTCCTCAGCACCAGTGCTTGCTCTGATGCAGTGCATTTTGGATTAATGTTTCCCATCAATTTGGCAGTGGCTCCAACTCTAACATAATTTGAACACTAACTCTGTTAGAAACAGTGCCTTGCCTTCCAGATAAAGAAAATTATATTATTCCTCTGGACTGTTTAAAGCTTAACAGTGAACTAAGGGAGGCAGAATTTACATCTTCCTTAAAAGCAGTTTTATAAACAGATTTCCTAGATTTTAATACAGCTTTATTTAAGCATCTGAACATCAACAAATCCAGAGCCCAGTTAACATTGTTCATGGTTTCAGCATGTTTAGTGTGTATATTTCATATCTTACATCTCATGAGAAAAGCCATAGCGCCCTATTGCACCAACATCCAAGGGATCATCAGGGTTTGCTAAGCCAGCACTCTCACTGGCAGTTTGTCAGGAACTGCTTCAGAGATGGCTGCAGCTTCCTCCCTTTGTGCACACAGGAAGCCTCCAAACATTTCATGCCTGTTTGCAGCACTCCACCTTGGAGACAAACCTGTTGGCTCGATGCAGAGCATTACAATCAGGACCTGCAGCCTGTGAGCCTCCTGTTCCTTCTGATGGAAAATGGCAGACTTTGGGTGTATTGGAGACACACCTTCACCACTCCACCTCGAGACATGAGTAGCAGCAGCTATCACAGGTTATCTACCCCGTGCAGGGTTTTGTCAAGCAATACCAAACAGGTCAGACTTGTTTCAATAAAGATTGCTCTGTTCAAGGGATCAGTCCTCAGAGGATTCTCATACTGCTCCTTAACAACAGGGGAATGAAACAGGGAAGAATAGGACAGGTTACTTTTCCAGCACCAAGTTCAATCAGCGTCAGCCTCTTATTAAGAGGTTAACAGGAACTGACAGCTGCTGAAGGGTGAAAGACAACAAGAAAACAATTAAGCTGCTCTGTAGATTTTGTTCCTAAAAAAAAAAAAAAATAAAAAATTGGCAACAAATCTAACAGTTTTTTGGGCAGAGGAAAACTGAGTTATTCCTCTTTACTATAAACACTGCCAGCCCCAGGGGACACCTTGACACACTGGTTTTACATCTGCGTTTGTTATGTGACAGAGCATCGGGAACTTAAAAGCAGCTTGAAAACTTTAAAAGCCAAGATCATGAAGCAACTCAGTGCTTCTGGGAGAACAGATGAGGCAGACCAACTGCTTTTAATCCAGATCTTTTGTATTATCCAGATCATTTGTATTCTAGCCATTTCAGAACAGGCTAAAGGCCTGGAATTATTTTGGTTAGAGCCTCCAATGCATCAGTTGGAGAAGAGGATGCTATGTGATCAACTCATTAGCACAAGTGACTTGAAACTGCTAAAAAGTGCAATCTCTAATGCACAGATGGAGTTCTGGAGGGAGAACTCCTTCCCCAGGGGAAGAAGACAGGGTGTCAAACACAAGGGAGAGAAGACAATTTGTAACAAAAAACACATTCCTGCATCCAAATTGATGTCTGAGATAAATTTACCCCCCAAAATCCCAATGCCAGCATCTAGGTAGAATAATCAACTCTCTCCTATCCCTAGCACTCTGTGGGGCCTCACTTACTGAATTGCTGATTTGGAGGGGAATAGTACCAGGTGTCACAGACAAGGAGGTACAGGAAGTTTCCTAGACTCTTGATCATTGCTTGCAGGACACTCATTCCCTGACACTATAATCCCCATTCGAAGCAAGGCAGCAATCCCCACGTTTCCTTTTCTCCTCCATCCAAAGGAGGTCATCTCTTTTCCAGCACCACCCACTTCACTTCCTGTCCAAAACAGCAGCAACATCTCTTACTCCCACTGGCCCTTGCTCAGGAGCCATCTAACCTGTCTTGATCCTCATCCTGATCCCAAGCTTTCCACAATCCTGCACCCGAGGCAAGAAGTAGCCTCAGAGTCGTCACTGTTCAGGGACTCCTTGGCTAGTTCGATAGTGACTGGAGAAGAGGAAGGGGAGGACCTGGGAGAAAGGGGACTGGAATGGCCTTGTGTTTCCTTCTTGTTGGTCAGTGGTTCCTCCCCGCCTTTTGGGGGCTCAGGCTTGCTCTTTGTCTGCCCTCCACAGCCGCTCTTTGACTTCCAAGGGCAGCGTGTTGAACAAGTCCTCCTCCACCACAAGCCCGCTGCGTTTCAGCAGAGGACACTCTCCCAGCTCCACTGGCAGGCACTCCAAGCGGTTTCCTCGCAGCTCTATCTGTGATAGGTTTGTCAGCTCTCCAACACGGGATGGGAGTGACTGCAGCACATTGTTTCCCAGGTTCAAGGTTCTCAGCTTCCTGCACTGGAACAGCTCTGGCGGGAGAGTCTCAATCTAAAGAAAAAAAAATCAATTACAGAATGAAGTCACCTAATAGCACACCCACTCATAAGACAATAACAAGGTCACACATCTCACTGTCCTTCCTTAAGTGAGCTCCTGCAGTAAGGACTCGCATAGCATGAAGCCTCCCAGACAGCTCTGCCATTGGCCATTCTTCCCCAGCTCCTCTCAGAGCACCACCATGCCAGCAGATGTCAACTACTTGGCACCTCTCAGCTTTGAGAACTTACTGTATCAACCTTCTTAAATCTTCACATCTCACAGGAAAGCTAAAAGCCTTCTTGTATAGTTTCATTATGTATAAGATTACCTGGAGCAGACACTACATGAGTACAACTGTCAGGCACTGAGAATTGAGAGCACTCCATCATTTCTGTTGGGTTTGGTATTGTTGCAGGGACTTTGATAGGCTTCAAATTACAAAGTTGGTTTGAGTTTTTTTTTTGACAGTACAACAAAAAATGAAGTCACCACCTGTTAGCTTTCCCACCATTGCCTTCAAGTCACTAATTGAACAAGTCTAATTGCTATTACTCCAGTACTCCTTCCAGTGAATTTCTAAGAAAACAATATAGGTAAGGTTTAACAAGCACTAGGCCAGGAATTAAGTGCAGCAATTCAATACTCTCCACTAAATTCAAAGCCTCATCACAAAGATTACTGTATGTTGCCTTTATACACAATCATGTCTCTTTTTTAACCTTGAATTATGCATGACACTGCTAAATTGAACTGTAATCAATTCTGAATGAAGTCCAACCAAAAGCAGGGACAAGACCAATTAAAAACAGCCAAATTCAGCCACTGTTGTTGGTGCTGTCAAGCGTTACGTGAACAGCAACATGCAATCGAATGATCACAGAAAGGGTGAGGTTGGAAGGGACCACTTGGGATCATATAGACCAAACACCCTGCTCACAGACTTCTGAAAATAAAACTTATTTAAGGGACAAGTATTGGTTTAGGAAGGAAGCAATGTGCTATAATGTGGCCTGCTTCCCAAAACGGTACACTGGTACCAGCCAACACCAGCAGCTCCTATTTGCTAAGATTGCTGAGCTAAGAGAGGACATTTGAGGTAACTCCTGGCCTTGGGAAATGCCTGACTACCAGCCCTTGTGTTCCTTGCTGCCACTGTTTCCTGCGTAACCAGGCTCAGAGCCCCAGGATGACAATGCTTTGCCCAGCACCTGCAGGGCAATAAGCAGCTTTGCTGTTTCACTGGGTTCACATCACTTTCTGCTTCCAAACCCAGTGGAACAGAGGATGCTCCACAACTTTCCTGTTGCATCAGTACTTTCACACAGTACAACAGGTTGTGTCAAACAGTGCTGCAGAGAACAGAGCTGTCTCTAACTCCTCTTCCTCCAAGACAGGCTCCATCCCAGGACTACAGAGGATACACCACAGATCAACTCTCAGGAAGTTATAGCAGCAACGTTCCCAGAAGACAAATGGCACAGAATTACCTGGGTTCTGAACAGCACAAGCAGTTAAAACTTTCTTCATTCTGCTTGAACACCAACCTCAGAAAATAGCCCTCTCAGCCACATTCATCCTGAGAAAATATTCTGGCTTTCAATCTGGTATGAAATGTGTGCATACCATGAAGTCCTAAGCTTAAGCCACCCATACAGAAGGATGCACAAACCCAGAAGCCACCGATCAGATCTGTCTGTGCTTCATACATTCTGGTAGAGCCTTCTGCAACTTCAGCAAAGAGAGTGAATGAAAGCCTCAGCAAGTCCTTCAGCTCAGCACAGCCTGTGTGATCACAGGTTGATCTTTGACACCTGGTAAATGAGGCTTCCTTCCTGTACATTTGTAATCCCAAGAAGAGTAACAAACACATAGGAAAACCCATGGGACAGTTTGTTTCAAGCAATTAAGCCCCTTCCAACCCAAGGGTAACCAGGTAACAAAGCAGCATAGCACACTTGGTCATCTCCCTTGTGACCTGCCTTGCACTTAAGCCAAGTCTAAGTCTTAACTGTCCAAGTCCACCTGGGATTGTACAAGAAAACCCACAGCCATTGCACTGAGGCACAGAAAGGTGCCACACTTCCTTCCCTCTAAGTCAAGTCTGATGGCCAATTGACAAACCTGGTTTAACCCATTCTTTCCAGAGAAAGCACACTATAGAAGACAGTTTTACTTCCTCTAACATAACCTTTCTGGAGCAAGACAACACATTTTAAATGTGACAGATTAAGAATCATGTTTCTTAGGTCTGTAACATAGAGCTTCTCACACAAAATGTATGTTACAAGACTGAACTACAGAGCATTCCCAGAAATAAGTAGTACTGCATGAAAACTGTGAGCTGCACACATGCACATGCTAGATGGCTGCTGTCACTGTGTATGTACTCAGCTGAAGTACAATGAATAGTACTACATTAAGAGTACTTTCTTAGGTCTCCATTTTAAGACCAAAGCTGGTGTCAATCTAGGCAAAACAAGCTTCCAGCTGCAGAGAAACAAGCGTCAGGCAGGCTTTAGGAAACAGTCTGTAACTGCTACTTAAAAGCAATTTCCCTGAAAGAAAAGGGATGCTACAAAACAAGTGCTGTTCAACAGAAGGAAAGAACTTCCTCTGGAGTTATCTGCCTTAGATAAAGCCCTCAGAAAAAAACTGAAGCTTCAGAATTTAAATAGAACAGCAGTGCCAGGAATATTTCACACACCACTGTAACACATTTAATCCCACAGATAACAGACACACCAGAATTACCTGTGCTCACAGAGGAACACTCAGGCTCCTGCTCACTTACCCTGTTGGCTGTCACAGCTAGGTTCTGCAGGTTTTGAAGAAGTCCTACGTCTGGTGGTATGGAAGTCAAGTTGTTGTGGCTGAGATCCAAATACCGAAGTTTTCTGCAATAGAAGAGCTGGGTAGGAATCTTTTCTATCTTGTTACGATTCAGGTAAAGGCGCTCTAAATTGGTGAGGTTGCCTATTTGCATGGGGATGTAGGCAATGTGGTTGTACCACAATTTAAGGCAAGTGAGACGATGTAAGTGCTGGAAGCTGATGATTTCCTCAATGGTCTTGAGGTTATTGTCCTTCAGGTCTATCTCTTGCAGATTGTGGAGGCTAAAGATGGAGTGAGGAATGCGCTCCAAGTCGCAACGGATCAGCTCCAGCTCTGTCAGGTTGACCATTTTCTTAAGGCTGTTGAGAACAATGAGCTTGGTGCCCTCGTTGTTAATGGAAAGCTTCTGAAGATGCACACCAACATCTGTCACCACCTGCGGCAGCTTGGTGAGGTTACTCTTCAACCTCAACACCTTTAGCCTCTTCAGCTCCCTCAATCCATCTATTACAATGTACCGGTTGTTCTCAGCACTCAGATTCCCCGTCAGATGAAGCTCTTCTAGTGTCTTCAGGCTATAAATCCAAAGAGGGATCTCCTTGATGTCTGTGAACTTGATGTGGAGAGATTTCAAATTCTCCCTCAAGAAGGCCAGGGCTGGAGCCTCAATTTTGGCAGCGGTGTGGTAAAGCCATAGTTCCTTAAGGCTGGTGAGCTGAGCAATGCTTGGGGGAATGGTGACATCAGGGATAAGCTCCAGCTTCAAGACCTCCAGCTCTATGAGGTCAAAGACCGTGTCAGGAATGCCACTCAACATGAACAGATGCAGTTCCAGCTTATCCTGAGAGTTCTTTGTGATCCTCTGACGCAGCTTCTCCAAAGTCCACTCATTGTTGAGGTTCAGCTGCCGCAGCTTGTTCTCACTCACCTCCGACAGAAAGACAGCAAAGCGCTTGGAATACAGGGGGTCATACTGATCAATCAAATGGAGCATAAAAGCAAAGTCATTTTTCACATCAGGAATGTCACTGTAACTGCTTTCCTCACGGATAGACTCAAAGGAGTACTTCTTGAGTGATCGCCTCAGCATCCACCAGAGCGTGTACATGCAGATCAAGCCATAGACTACCACCAAGCTGATGTAGAAAGATGCCAAGATTTTGAAGAGAGTGGCCAAAGGATGAGCACAGCGATACATCCTGTAGCCAGTCAAGCTCTCAATGTCCACCTTACAGTCAACATCAAATGTTATGTTGTTGACGTAATAAACAGTATAGCAGATGATAAGAATGAACTTGATTACTTTGATGATGGTCTGCCTCATGTAGAGGCGATACACTATATCTCCCTCTTCCACATGCGTACGGAACTTCTTCACTTTTTCAAAGAGTGCTTTGGCTTGTTCACCTTCCTTCTTGTCCAAAACACCTGTCTCAGATCGGTCCACGATTCCTTGTTCAATTCGAGACTTTGTTCTTTGCAGCATGGGAACAGTGGCTTCCACATCCTCACTGACCGTGGAGGATTTCTTGTCCATGGAGCCATTCATTTTCCCAAATGCTGGCTTGGTATCGCTCTCTTCCACCACTGTCTCAGATAATGCCCTTGTTGTCCATGGAGAGTCAAAACACTTAAGCAAAATAGACACAAAATGCTCCAGCTTGGAGCTGGTCCTTGGAAATTTGAACCAGAAGTTGCTACAAGCCAGGAAGATAAGAGTATGTAGCAGCACCAGATAAGGAAAATACTTGGCAAACCAGTGAAGGCGGTTCTCATAACACACCGCATCCACATAGTTATACTGGTGCCGGTCCAAATCATATTGGATCCCTGTGGGCCCTGTATCAGCAGAGGGAACAAGACTAGAGTTATAGTAAATACGCTCTGGGGTTACAGCTGTCCAACCTCTGACAGTGTCATTGCAAGAGTCTTTGGTAATCCATTTACAGGGCAAACAAATCATTTTGTCCTGGGTGACCTGAAGAGTCCCTCCAAACACTGCAATCATCAGCATCACTATGGAAATGTAGTCCGTGAATACGTCCCACCATGGCTTCAGGATGCGGTATGCTGGCTGAGTGTCAGCAAAGTATCGCAATTCAGTGACTGGAATCATGATTCACCACCTGAAAGGAAAACAGAAGCAAGCATTACTAAAACTCTTTTGTTCTGCTCTTCTAGAGGGTATCGGGAAACTTGCATTTTAAGTGCTGGCAAAGCAAGACTGAATTAAGTCCTAGTTTCAAGTTACTTGGATACAAACAATGAGACTACCTGAGCGAGGCACCTGGTTACAGCTGAGGCTGTAAAGCTATTGTGGTGGTGCTCACCCTCACAGGCAAGTCGCTGGAAGGCATCAGAACTGGTGCTTGTCATTAGCAGTCTGCAGGTGAAAAATTCACACTGAAAGAAGGCTTCCAGGACCAACTTTAACTCCTATGACAGATGAGTAATGGGAAGCTTTCAGCTTTACCTGGGGATATCATTTCCGGGACAAAGGAATTTGACAGCGTTATTAGAGAAAATCCACACACAGTTATCATGTGTTTGTTACTCTGAGCTAAGAAATAACTCTACATCTCTGTGGCTCTCCAATTGCAGAGGCAAGGAAGAGGATTTATAAGCATTAGTTATATTTCCTAGAACCACTACATTGACGCAACCCATATCTGATTAAGAAAACTGGAAAAGAACAAAAAGTTGTTTGATATCATCCCTTTTCCTTCCACAGGAAGAAGTTCTGGCTCTCCACCTCAGCATCAACTTCCCAAAGAAACAGTACTTGCCAACAGTACTGTACAACAGCTCCCTTCTGAAATCCTGTAACAGCTGCTCTTTGTTTTCTTCACTTCAGAAGTATAGGAAAGGGGAAGCATACTTAATATAAAAATTCACTTCCCTGACCAGCCACTCCCACTTAGAGTTCATCTCAGCTGGGATTTAAGAGTCACAAAGGAAATGAAAAGGTTCTGGGAAGGGAGACCTCACAGCAGAACTTGTTCTGTCCTTCAGAGTTCCAGAAGGAAAAAGCCATAGAAAACCCATAAGCCTGACAGATCCGTACAAACTCACAAAGCATCCCCTGTATCCGACAGGTGACACAAGTGAAGTGCATGAAGTCATTATAACTTGTTCTAATGACACTGAAAAAGCAGTAATATCACACCATACTTGCTAGCAGTGTTCAGGCACCAGACAAGCACAAGTCTTTGTCATTTTGAGACTCTCATCAACTCAACTGTAACAGAAGAAGAACAAAAGCTCAATCCTGTCTCCACAGCCCATAAGGCAGCATCCATACAGGCAGTCCTGACAAGCCCCGGGGGCTGCAGGCTTGATAGCAGCTTTTTATACACCACTGGCTGAAGCCAAGCAGAGTGACCACACCATCTGCTTTTGTAGAATATGAGTTTGTATTTAAAATTAACTTCCAGCCCAGAACTGCAAAGGAAGCCCCTCCTAACATGAACTCAAGAAGCACCACATTCCCTAGAGACACTAAATTGAGAACACTATTCCCTGGTTTGTCGCTCACAACAATAAATGGTAAAATGCCAGCTTTGACTTACAGCTATTTGGGAAGGCTGCTAGAGGTAGGCTGAAAGATGACAGCTACCCCTAAAGTAGCATTTGCCTTCTGCCCAACCAAGTTCAGTTACTGAAGAGTGTGAGAGCCAGGGCAGGATAGCTGACATGCCATAGCACGAGGAAAAACAAAGATACGCACCCTCCCCAGCACGCTCTGCATCCCTTCCACTGTAATCAGAGGAAAGTCCTGCACTTCTCCAGTCCAAGCAAGAGAAAGCCCACAAAGCTTTGTAAAAGGAGAACACCAAGAGTTACTGCAGCCATCTGCTGGAACAGTTAACTATGTCACGGCTCAGCTTCTCAAATTCATCGATGCTTACAGGAAAGCACAGCTTCTGCTCTACCAGACTAACAGCTCAGGACCCCTCTGAGAGCAGCACATCACCCTAAGGGTCCACAGAGGTCCAGTGGCAGTCTCCCAGCCCGTGCACACTCTCCTAAAACTCCTGCCAAGTGTGATGTACAGCTTTTGTTACTCCTTCCAAACTACATCTAAGAGGCAACAAACACTGCTGTACCCCTCACTGCTCTCCCATAGTGCTATGTAGGATCCTGATCCCTCTTTTCCTTCAGGAGCATGCAGTGAGAACTCCGGTGCTGTTCATCAAAGAACTGCTCCCTACTTAAATTTCCTACCCCTCCCATCTTACACTGAGGGAAACAGACACTCATCTCCTTTCTTTCTCTTGTCTAGATACCACTTGTCCCCAGAGATCCTTTCTTCTTTCCTCCAGTGCTTCTTCACTCCAGGCAGGAAAGCTTCTGCAGGAATTGGGTCCTTCATAGCTGCCCACAGAAAGGTTATGAAATAGAGAGGAACTTCTCAGGAAGCAGAGTCTCGTGGTTAAGACATTTTCCAGACTTGAGCCAAGTCTAAGAAATACCTCATTGCTTTTTTGCAACAAACGAACCCTGTGTTTACTTTGATTTGTATCTCAAGATAGCTAGGAAGGAAAGCAAAAAAAATTAGGGCAACAGGCTCCCTAATTCTATTTACCGGCCACATGGGATAGGAAATCTGCCTTTACATTGTGCAGTTACAAGACAGCTAACAAATGATCTGTTTGAACATCCCACGATAGCCTATTACAGCTCCATACCAGCATTTAAACCCTGGCATGGTGGAGCAGGAAATCCCCTGCCCTCCAGTAACAATGATAGGGTCACTGCGTGAAGAAAAGGACATTCTCACAAGTTCCCACTCCTCCTGGCAGCTGTGGAAGCCCTGTTCAAGTCCCAGATGAGAAGCAGTAAAACAAGAGGTCATTTTACAGAAGCTGTAGCCCCCCAGGTCTTATCTAATCTTATTTGCAGCATCTGTGGTAAAAAGGAAAACTGACCACCAAAAAACTTGGGAAACCAAGGGGCAAAGCTACAGCCCTCCTCAACCAGATTTCCCATGTGCGCAATCCATTCCAGTTCCTGAAAGACCCGATGACTGTTCTGCAGCAAAACAAGCATCATTATTTTATAGACCCCATTTCATAATCGTTTTAAAATGCCGTTCTGGTTGCAACACTCCCTTCTGGATTCAGGCAGGCAGTTTTGCTGCTGGGGTTGATGACAGCAGACTAACCTCAAGTCAGATTCTCAGGGCTTATCTCTGCTACCGATGCTGCCCCGCATGATAGGATTCCTCCTGTAGGAACCAGGGGTCCAACCACTATACAGAAACCAAGTGGGCACCTGGAAGCCAGACTCTCCCCCAAAGTACACAGGCAGGAGAACAGAGATATTTAGGAGGAAGACATTGTTCTGGCACTGCAGTAGAGCAGGTTTGGGGAAGAGAAGTCTCAGCTCCTTCAGATACACGTCAAGTTGCACGCCCTTCCAGCTGGGGCTCAGAAACTGGCAATTTGCTCACAGTTAACTCCACCAAATGGGAGACACTGATACTGAGATTTTGAAAAAGTGCTTCATTCAAGTTTAAAGGTTGAATTAAATCTGTATGAGCCAACAGGTGGGAACATCATAGTTCAAGCCCCATCCACTTATCGGAAGCATAAGGAAGTTTTCCAAAGGTATAATTAATTAGGCAAGCTTTGGGAATTGCACACAAAAGAAATCTTACAAGTGTGTATCTGCCTCAAAGGTGTTTCAGCTTTCACATCCCATGCCAATTTACCATGTAACTGAGCAGTCTCCTACTTCTTACTTTAGAAGTGCCATTACATTTGAGGGTTTCAGTTGCACCAAAGCAGCACTGTGCTGCAATTCACATCCAGTGTAGAACAGGCAGAGTAGTTGGAGCCTGTACAGGCAAAGACCTGTGTGCTGAAGTCTCACTGCCATACAGCAAGACCATAATATATCTATCAATTCAGCCCACAAATACAATCCTAAAATCTCTGCAATATCCACATTTAGGTACTGCACATCCCTTCAGTGCCTGCAGATTTACCCAGACCCATGCTGGCATGCAACTACAGACTCTGCTAATCAGGCAACCTCAGGAAGGAAGGCAGAGCCCAATTAGTACAAACAAGTCAGGCCATCGTGGCCATCCTGCATCACCTGCCAAGCACCTTCCTACCATGTGCAGTATGAATATTAAGTTTATTAGGCACACCTGAAGGAAAAAAAAAAACTTAGAAAAACAGGGACACCCTGAGCACACCACATCTAAATAATAAAATCATTCAGAAACAAGAATAAACTTATCCAGCTAACAAAAACCTTGTACTGTAGCATGTACCATAACCAATAAAGACCAGAGTCGAGAGCATGAATCCTTTTCGCAAGACGTAAGACTCCTGTGGTATTTAAGATCAAGGAATGAATAGAGCAACTGCAAGAACACAAACATCCTCTGATTTGAAGAATTTCCCTATTAAAACCAACAATAATCTAAACATGCAAAGGCAGAATTATTGCTGACAGATGCTTGGCTGAGCTGTGCTTGAAATTCCTGCCTGTACCTGCTGACCAGCATACCCAGCTAGAGACAAAGTGAACAGAAACATCATTGTTTAGTTTCACTGGCTGGTATGTCATCAGCTTGACTCATCATCTGCTGAATACTTTATCCATCCTCCTCTTCCCTTTCTTCCTTCTGTTGACCATTCTGCTGCAAACAGAGCTACTGGCAGAACAGGACTACATGCAAGATCTCATGACATGTCCAAGAATTTCCTCAGTTTCTATCACTTACTTCCAGGGCCTCTTCTTCAAAGCAAAGAAATCCTCACCTTTAGTGGGATGCAGCACCTAAGGGAGGCAATCTCATAATACAAATTTAAATAGCTAGACAAGGATTTATCGCATGTTGGACACTTGCAAACCTCTAGTTTGTGTCACACATTCTTAAATCTCAGTGGCTTTTAAGATTGTAGACTGCAAAGCAGCAGTCAAGCACTGTTGAGTTTCTTACCTCTCAGAAGCCCAGAGAACAAGGGAGGTGTCTGTGTGCTGACAGTATCAGAGGTAGACAAGGGAAAAGAAAAACGACTCGGTGCTCTTAAGACCACAGCCCTGATTTTGACGAGCTGCAACATGTTACCATAAGCTTTCAAAACAGCAGTGCCTCTCTCCCCAGCATGCTGCCACCTGAAACACTAGAGAGGGGCAGAACACAGAGCTCTTTGTTCAAACACCAGGAAATGTAAAGAGCTTTGCAAGTCAGAAGTGGGAATGTAATTTGTGTTCCCTCCCCCTTGTTTATTAGGCTCAGAATTGAAAGCAAAAGGAGGAGGTTAAAACAGAGCTGCTTTCAGTCACTCCTCAGAAAACCTTCCAAACAGGGACAGCCACATGATCAACTGGAAAAGCCCAAGATGTCAGACAGAATAAGACTCAGTGATTTTGTTCCTCGCTGTTTGCAGAAGTAAACAGCAAGGAAACCAGGTGCCAGAGTCTCAAACAACAACCAGTCATCTTTACATCTGGGTCTGTCTGCAAGATGCCTTCTGAGACAGAGAAGTTTAAACACAAAGTTTAAAGGACTGCATGTTACTCAGACTGGCAGATGGAAGAGTGCAACAGTGGCAGCCAGCACTTACACTCTTCACCTGTCGGACAGCCAACAAACTGAACACAGAGTAAATTAGGTTGGTTTTCATATAACCACCAGCTGTGTGCAACATTCAGCCCCACCCAAGCCACAAGATACAGGAGAATGAAGCAAATTAACTAGGTAACACCTGTACTGAAGCTCATGAAAAAACTCACCTACACTACAGACAGAACTTTTACCATCTTTACAGCTACCTTTTAATTGACTCTTCCGATCAAATGCAAGACTGACATTCTTAGCAAAGTGCAATAGCTCCTGTTTACTATCACACCAGCAAGCCTGTCCTAACAAGCACAGGGCAGAACATCAGCACAATCAGAGCAATCTACACTGGAGTCCTGGTTGGCCTGCCTGTTTTCTGCAAGGTTTTACCCCAGCTGCACAGAAGCAAACACTCTGAAGTTATCAGCATCAGTGATGCTTGGATCAGGGAGCAGGTCAGTATGAGATTGCTACGGAAACTCAAATGCTATCAGGTGACTTGCCACAGTGATGCAAACCAGAGAAAAAGTCTGTGTCAGCTTATAAATTATGAATGTGTGTGGTCACAGGTTTGCTATCCAAAATTAATTTCCTTTGCCATAGAAAAGATGCTTCAAGGACAAGGCATTGGAGCTTGTCTTTGAAAAGTATGACGGCTTTATTCCAATGGGACACTACAAAACACTTGCAAGTGGTTGAGTCGTTATTAACTACTTAAGATTAAGACAGACAACAAGAGTGTTAACTTGGAACAAGCAGAACAGCTTCAAGCACTCCCTCAGCTGCAGAAGTCTATTCGGCATTTAATTCCAGCATTGGAAAGTGATACAAAAAGGGGTAAACAATTGTCTTCAATTAAGACTGAAATGGTGGGCAGAGCAGAGCTTTGACATTTCTAACAAGAGATTGAGAAATCACGACACTAAACTCAAAGCCAAGACTTTTAAGCAAGGATCATCACAATTTATTGTTAACAAACTGACAACATCTACAAATTTATTAGCTTGAAAACAGCTGTGGCAACACCCAGAGAGATGAACCAAAGATGAAAGAGGATTTCAACAAGAGCAAAGTAAGACTTCAGCCATCAGCACAATAGTATTTTGCCTCAGTCTGACAAAAGAGAAACAAGCATATATCCACCTGCTTATTCCTGACCCTTCAACCTTGTCTTCTGCACCATGAGCTTCAAAACAACGACTGTGACTTTCATCTCAGTACATTTTCTGATTGTATTCACTGGTTGATAAGAGAGAGGCAATAAAGCCACAACTCTAAAGGCAAATCTGTTAACTAGTCCAGTGCACAAACTTGGCACAGAGGAGCTTTATACCGCCTGGTAATTTTACAGCAAACATTAACAAAACCTAGTATAGGAGGTAAAAGCACTATTATTCCAGCAGGGTGGTTCTGACTGAATAGCTTTTAGAGTCAAACGCAGTTCAACAGCAGCAGGAGGGCCATATATAATCCAGATATATAAATCAACTGTGTGCCATTTGCAGTAAAAAATGCATGCAAAACAGCTTAGAGAAAAAGCTGCCTGGAAGCATTCAAGATATTCTCCTCAAACAAGAGACTGTTAAATGCCAGTTCAGCAATAGCACACATCCTAAACCGAGGCTATTTTTGAAAACACTTACTTGGAAAAACATGCAGGAAGGAGGCTTGCTACACTGCAACAAAGTTTGTATTTAATCTTTACCAAAACAGTGGCAGACATCCCAGCACGAAGAAGCCCCACATAAAACATGTAGAAACCCTTCCCTTCTGCACTCCACCACCACTCACACCACTTCACTGTGCTTTCCTAGACACCAGCAAGGCTTAATTTAACTTCAGTGACTTTCACTTCCCTTTTAAATACTCAACTGAACAAAATCCTCCTTCAGAACATGGAAGAATTCACGAAGGCCTGTAGTTAGGATTGTACACAGCAACACAATAGCTTACATTTGAATTCCATGACTTTTTAAAATGAAGTCAGAGCACCCTAAGCCAGGAGCTGCCTTTCTGAACATCTGCAGCACTTATGAGAATGCAGTAACTCAAAGCATTTGGGAAGTCATCACTGAAAGGCTTCAGGCACTCCACATTTTAAACATGGAAGCATTAGATTTTAACACATGGCTTCTGGTATATCTTAAGGAGTTATTTATGCACATTCCCTTTGACCTACATAAATAAAGTTACGGTTTCCAAGTACCATGCACGATCAGCACAACAAAGCAAATCCTTGAACTGTCAGAACACAAACCTGCACTTCCCCACTGCTCACAATTTGACCCATCCGGGCTGCATCTCATCCTGCAGATAAGCAGGGCACTCTGCACTTCCTTTCATCACTATTCTAGCAGAGACCCAAAGAGACAAAGTTTCCAACTACCAATCCTCACTGTTGCCTAAGTGCCACCCACAAGGGCAGCAAGTCAGTGCTCTCCTTAGGTAACCACAGAAAAAAATGTTTATGAGATGTTTACATAGCAATACAAAAATCACCCTGCTGGAAACTGAAGAATATTGACCAAAATAAACAGAGAGCATACAGCCTTAAAGTACTTTTTTTAATGAAAGTAGTCAGGGTCTATATGGCCAGGAGTTAGATGCAGGGGTAAATGCAACAGTTCAGTTTTACATCAGACAACAAATTGTTACTTCACTCTTTTTTCCCTCTACCTTAAAGCTTAGGGCTCACAGCTGTAAATAAGCATATCACCACTCTCCCTGATCCACCACCTTTCCTCCTTGCTCTTTCATCTTATCACTGCCTCGCGTTTTGCAACTATTTTTAAGCAGTGTTCTCGTGATTTCATTTGTGTCTTTAGCACACCACTCCCACTCTGGCCTGCAGCCCTTACCCTGCAGTTGGGTTCTGCTATCTGCACTTCAGTTCTCTGTGCTGGAAGTGGATGATGTTCCTTCGTGCTGGATCCTGAGCAGGTGCTGAAGCGTTGCATTCCCCACACGCCATGGGAACAGCTTCCCTGAAATCAAGCAGAGATTATCAGCAGAGAGAACGAAGATCACAGAGGAACCACGTTATGTAAAAGTTTGGGAAAGGATGTCGGAGATTTCTAAGGAACAAACTAGATGGTCATTGGGAACTAAGAAGAGTCGCTGATAGCCAGAAAGATTTTAGAAGCTCTAAGTACATTTTCAAAGAAGAAGCAAATCTCCAACATTTGTTCCAGAAGCTATCACAAAGCAGGTGTTGCAAACCCATTTAAAGGAGACTCCGAGTTTCTCTATTGCAACCAAACTAATAAAGATAGATTAACCTCCTGGAGGAAAGATCTAAAATGCATCAGGACTCTGAAAACACACACCCTCATCATTTTACACTCAAGCAAATACCCCCAACTCTTCACATCTACCAACATGAATCTTTTTAAAGCAGTGGCAATTTAGCACCATCAACAAGAACTACAACAGCTTTTTCTCCTTGCTTCCTGCACATCAACACAGGGAAGCAGACAAGGGAGCAAGCTCTGGCTCTGAGGGATCACTCAAGCCTCAAAGTCAGGGGGGACTGCAGAACTTCAGAAAGCATTTTGTCAACAAGAAGCATGGGGAAAAAAGCACTGGAAAAGGAAGAGACATCACTAGAACAAAATGTATTGGTTAAGATGTTCAACCCAAGAACACGTTGGGATCAGCCAACGCCAGCATCAGGGTTGGCAGACTCAGAAGCAACCTGCTCACAACCAAAGCCTTTCCACTCGAGCCGTGCCAAACTGCTGCAAAGGAACAAGCTGAAGGAGAGGACTCGCTGACCTTCTCCCCCACCCTGCCCTCCTCTCAGGGCTCAGCACCGCCCCAAACCACGGCACGACACACCCGCACACTGACAGCGCATCGCCCCTATCTGCCCACCAACCAACCTGCCGCACCCCAAGCTTTGGGGAAAAAACAGACATCGAGACAGAACAAGACGGAAAGAAAGTTAATTCAGGAAACCTGCCGGCTTTAAGCTGCCCTCAGGAACGAGCACAGATCGCACCTCCTCACCAAGGGGCTGCCGGCAGCGCAGGGGCGGCCCGGCCGCGCCCCACACAGCCAGGGCCGCCTCCCTCGGCAGCGCAGTGACGGCGGGCACATGAAGGAAATAAATTACTGCTCGGTCAGTCAGCGAGTCCTCCCCGCCCGCCCGTCAGGGCTGCAGCCCCTCTGAACCCCTTCCCGCCCGCTGCCCTCTCACAGCCGCCCCCTTCCCACAGGGGCGGCCCCACCCGGGCGCCCTCCGCTCTGAGAGCAGCGCAGCGGGAGGCAGACAGGCCGCAGCCCATCCCCGCCCGCACCCACCTGTCCGCACCGACCCTCTTCAGCCCCCACCCTCCCTCGCGCCGGCTCGGGCTCCTTTTGTCCGCACCGAGGCGGCCCCACCCCGGAACTGACCTCACCCGCCCGGCATAGGCGGCCACCAGGGGAGCGCCCGCCGCCGCCTCTAGCGAGGAGCGAAAAAGGGCGCCGCCATCTTGGAGGCGGGCACAAGGGGGAAGGGCGCGCCGCCATCTTTACGTAGGGCGAGGCCGCGCAGAGTGGGGCAGAATTTATGTGTCCGGATATACCGAGGAGAGAGAGGGAGGGAGGGAAAGTGAAGGTGTGGACGCCATCTTGGTGCAGGGCAGAGCGCAAGATGGTGAAGTCTTAAAGGGGCAGCCACCCAGAGCTGAGGGGCTGGGTTGGGGGGAGTAGGAGGACAGTGCCCTCGCCTGCTGTGGCAGTACGATGGGTTCCAGAATTACTTTTTTCCCCTAAATAAAGAGATTTACCTTTTCATTAAGTTTTTTTTTTTTTTTTTTTTTTTTTTGTTTGTGGATATGAGTGGTATCAATATCAAAGCTATTTAGCAGTAAGAGAACAAATACAATTTAAATAGCATAATTTACCACTTTTCCTTTTAGAACCAACTTATGCAAAGTAAAATGTGCTGAAAACCCAATTCTTGATCTCTAACTACTGTCCACCAAATGAAGACCACTAAAAACGTGGCATTTCTTTCCTCACCGCAGGAAGAGTGACAAAGTGGTGCTGTGAGGATTTATCCAGGAGCAGTTCTGTGGGACCTGAGAAAAACAGGGCAATCCTCCTGTGGTTATTTTCATTCAGCTGACTCATTTGTCCAGCACTGTTCTTTTAAAAATTCATAAAGGGTGCTTCAAAGGCATTCATTATAATGTCATTAGTGCACAAGAAGCAGCACGGGGCACTTAAGTGCAGCCAATTTGGACTGGTGGATACCAGTGGCTGCTGCTACGGTAAAATAAGCACAACTGTGGCTTTCTAGGAACATGATGGGTCTCAGCCCCAGAGCAGTGGGATTTCTCCTGCCAGTGTTGGAGATGCTCACAAGCTCAGGGCAACAGTGGGGTTTTGGCAAACATGACATTAAGTGGGTGCATTAAGTGCACTTAAATTAACACTTGCTTTCTGTGGTGCTTTAACCAGACATTAAGGTGGAGTTACACATTACTGTTGAGCCAACATAAAGGCTAAATCCTGTCAGAGAAGGTGGAAGCTCACACTCCCTCCTGTGGCCCCATATCCCTGTTCCCCTGTGCCCTGGTGCTATCCCAGGGCCCAGCCAGCCCACCAACCTGACAGAGATGAGCCTGCTTTCTGTCAGCAGGGTTTTCTGCTGGTATGGCCCTTCTCCAGGGTCTAACCTGGGGTCCAACAAATACAGACAATCTCAGCAGGAGGGATGGAGCCCCCAACCGCCTCAGGATGTGCTGTGTAAATCCTCGTGGCAGCAAACACAAGCTGACCTGCCACTTGTTTGTTTCAGTGTTTGGAAGTTTAGCAAACAGAGTTTGTATCTGCCTGCACAGAAATTCCCACCCTCTTAGTCATGGTGGGCCCAGCAGCAGTGTGTCGGGTCAGGAACTAGGACCTCTGCACAGCGAATGTCAGTGCTTCCTTCCCCGTGCCTCACTTTTTCCTACTGTGAGAGAGAGACAGTAATCACTTGGAAGAGTGACACGACCTGACTCATCAGTGCACACAAAGCTCGGTCGCAAAAGGGAAAGGGAAGCCGAGAGAGGATGATTTGCTCCTTATACCACACTTGAGCAATGGCCACCTCTCACAGAACTGATAGAGAATGCAGCTCCTGTATCCCTGCTGACGCCTCATCCGAGGCTGGGGTCTGTCTCAGAGACCACACACAGCCACACACAGCTGCAGGGCCTAGCTTTAGCCTGGGTGATTATCCTTCGATGAACCCCAGACCTCCTTTTCCCTGCACAGTCCCCCCATTGGCGCATCGCAGCCCAACTGCTGCCCGCAGCCTCGCAGACTCCTCCCAGGAAGTCCCAGCAGCAGACGAAGCATTTCGGGTCCACGGAGAAACCGGCATGCATGCAAGTTCAGCCCGGGCACCGGGGCCGGACTTCTGCAGTGTAATGCAGTGTGGCCCAGCTTGACGTAAGTCGGTTTTGCCCCCTCTGCTGCCCCTGCTGAGAGGCCAACGCGTGTGCCCTCTCTGGCCGCTGCTTCTGCATCCACCCTGCGCTCCCATTGTGCCCCGTGCCGTGGTGGCTGCTGGGGTCCTGTGCTCCCCAGAGCCCTCCAGATGCAGCCTGGCAGTGTCTGGGCAGCACTGGGGTGGAGGAGACCGCAGGAGTGACGGGTCCCTGCGGTGACCTTTTAGCTGTGCCCCGTCCTGCTGGGCTGGCTCTTTGCAGGGAGCACAGCTACAGCACCGCCTGAAAACCCAACGAGGAGAGAGGATCCCTGAGCTTTCCCCAGGCTTTTTGGCTCTCCAGTGACTGACCCCACTTTCAAAACAGTGCTCAAGGCTGGGGAGGGGAAGCAGAGTCCCTTTCCCCAACCCCAGAGCTCCCAGCGCTGCCTCCAGCTCCTCGCAGGAGCCTCGAGCACAGCACCCAGGCACGCTCTGCGGGTCGGTGCAACCCAGTAAAGCCCTTTTTAATGCCTCCATTTTGTCAACTGCAGGATTAGTTCCTTTCACACCGCCTGTCCCAGCTCCTGTCCTCTGCACAGGAACAAGGCAGGTATTGCACAGCCCCAACAATGTGCTATGCCCCTTGTTTTCTGTAAGTCATGCTGTTTTTTCCCAGCTGGGCAAAGAGATGTTAAACTGGCTGGCAGCTGTTTTGTATTTGTGTTAAAGGTAACATACAATGCAGAGAGGTCTCACGTCCTGCACGATGGGCAGTGCATCTAGCAGTTCTTTATCTGTGGGCTGGCCAACTTCAAGTCTGATGTGGTTTTTTTTATTATTTTTTTTTTGTGGCAGGATAAATTAACCTGTAGCTGGTGAAAATAAAAATGCATGCATCCTCCAGACTCACCCCTTTTATCTAAAGCATCTAACAAGGAGGTGTTACTTTAGCTTTAATACCATGTGCTTCAGCAATGCTGAGGGGGCTTGAAGTGAAAGAATGGTCTGTTTTAAGCACAGAAATTAATTTGAGAAATTAATTAAAGAAAACGTAGACACCCAAATCCATAAGCATATCTAAGGCCCTTGTTTCCCTTGAAAGCCCCAATGGGCAGAGTGTCTGAGCAGCATGGCCAAGCCACAGCCCCAGCAAGGAAGGTAAAGGTGCTGGGGGAGGAAGGCAGAGGCTGGTGGCAGCAGGGATCAAAGCAAACAGATGGGAATGTAGTGCTGGAAACCCTGTTCCTGAGGGATGCCTTCTTGCTGGTGTCTGTACCCCAGTGCAGAGGAGAGCATGAAAATGGGGGAGAGGAGCAGAAGCTGCACTTTTTCTTGTAACCCTGCCCTCCTGTGTGTTGCAGGCACAAAGGGCAGTCTCAGCCCTAACTGACATTGCAGTGACAACACACACAGCCTCTGGGCTGCATTTACTACTCGGAGTGCAAAAACTCAGCCTTGGGTCTGGATTTGCGCTGTGTCCCCAGGTACACAGAGCCTTTGCTTTGTGCCTGCAGTCAGGGAGTGATTTTCTCATCCCTTTGCTTTGTGTTTGGGGCTAATGCAGGTCTGTGCTGTGAGACTGCAGGAGCTGTGGCATGCTCAGGAGAGCAGGACCGTTTCTGCGTCACTTCTTACTGGAGAGGAATTGCAGCGCTGGATATAGCTTGTACTGCAGCGAGGTACTGAATGCCCAGCATGGCTGCTTCTGGCCTGCAGCCCAGTCCTTGGCTCAGGCTGCATCTTGTGGAGCCAGGGAGTAAGCCATGGCAGTGGCAGTAGATAGAGCATGTCAGGAGAGTAACACTGCTGTGATCTCCTCTGTAGCCAGTTATTTGCAAGTAGCGTGTTTGCAGGGAATGCCTCACAAGCATGAGAATACACTTTATAAGGAAAAAAGCTCATTGTTTGTGGGATTGCCTCACCTGAAGGCATTTTCTACTTAAAGCCTCTTGGGTTGCAAAATATTTTGGAAATGAAATATCAGCATCCTCCTGGACAAAGAAACTTGCAGAGCAAGAGAACAACATGCAGTGGGGAGACAGTGTTGGAGGGCAGAGCATGGCTTCAGCTGCTCATTCTGCAAACCACTGTCCTGCCTAGCTGCTGGGCAAATTGCAACTGAAGGATCACTGTCAGTTTGAGGAGCAGAACAGGCTGAGATGGATGTGAGGGCTGCATGGCTCTGAGCCTGTGTTGCTCTCCAGCACAATGGGCAGCCATGCAGGGCAGCATCACGCAGGCTGGGGATGGGACAAAGAGGCATCAAGGGAAGAAACTTTGCCATTTCCATTTCTGAAAGGATGTGAGCCTTTCCTCCAAACTGGCCATTTCTAGACTTACAGCACCTTATTCCTGCTGACCCCATCACTCTTGCCAGTGTCTGACCTGTGGCCAGCAGCAGCCCCACCATAAAAAATACAGCACTGGAGCTGTTAATTTTTAACCCTCAACTATCTTTTACTTTCTAAGCCACAAATCCTCTTACTCCCACCAAAAACAGTTGAGGCACAGGTCTTGCTGACTGCAGTGCTCATGAGCTTGTGTAGCAAAGAAGGGAATAGGGGAGAGGCATAGGACTCCCCTATACCCAGGAAGGCAGCGATTCCTGATCGCCCTTGGCCACCTGCCTGGCCTACGGGGGAGCACAGAGTCCATTCACTGCCCTCTGAAGCACAGAGCTCCTTGCATTAATTTGCCCAAATCCCCAACGAAGGCTGGGTTATGTAACGAATCCTCAAGGATTGTAAAGTCCTCAAAGAAACGTTCTTGGGGCACTTCTCAAAGGCTGGGGCAACTTTGCAGGAAGGGCAGCAGCAAGCAGGTAAGTGGGGAGTTACTGCAGGGGAGATCCTATATCCCCCCATCATCCTGACAGATCCTCTTCCTGCACATCCTAGCTCCACATGTCACATCTTGGCTGTTCTCACGTGCCTTCCTTGTCTGTGTTTAAATGCATTTTACTTGCTGTGGGAAA